TTTTGTGTATAATCACTGTTTTGAAATATGATTATGTGCGGCATTACTATTTTGATGTGTGTCATGGTAGTTTTTATATGTAAATTGTCAAGACTTTTCGTTGATACTAATATTAATTATCTCGTGAATATCCTCTAGAGGCTGTTGCTTTTCTCATTGCAAAGAGAAAGTTGAGACAATATGCATTTGCAGCTTAGTCTAGCAACACCAACTTTGTGAAACACCGAGGACAAACTCGGATATCAAAACCCCTTCGTGGATCACTCATGCGAGTAGGGAATGGAGAACATGCTCCCTCGCCAACTAATAATCCATTGTTTGGCACGACCATGCCGAAACCCGATGGCTTTTCTCCTCTTGGTGCACATGTGGTGAGTTTTGTGGATATTTATTACTGTATTAGGTAATGGCTTTGTGTCAGGATTTATCATGTTTTGCTAATGTGGTTGTCTGATTTGATGTGGTCAGCCCTTCCAGCCTGCTCCGGCACCTGTCCCGATTCCTCTTCCTAGTTTTTTGTCTAATCCACCCACTTGAAGTCATCCTGCGGTTTCTGGTGGGCCTATTGGTCTTTGTGCTCCACCGAGCACCGATTCAAGTAGAGATTCTTATGGTTTTTGTATATCAAAATTCTACTTTGGCCAAGAACATGAGCATATGAAACTTGCATTGCTTGTGGGTTTATGAAAGTGGACAGGAGGAAATATGGGATGGTTTTGATGAAATTATGTACCTGTTTGTTAAAGCATGTTGTACTTTGCCAAGTGTTTATTCTAGAAATTTAGTTCATATATCATTAACAAGGACTGTTATTAGGAATTACATGTTATCCTTTCCATGATAAAATGGAAAAAGGTACTTGTATGCGTATTGCTTTAGTATATTCAAATATTTCCTAACATTTACCTAATATCCATATATATCTCTATCCAGCCCAATCCAAGATCAAAGAGAGCCCTAAGGGTGATATTGAGTGAGAGCGAGTCCAAAAAGACACTGGAGGAAGAAGCCAGAAAGTGTCAGTGGCTTATCCTCTGGCTCGACAAGTGAGTCAACTAAAGCTTATTGGGTTGGAATTATTTCTATTGATCTCTCTCAAGCTTTTTTTGAATTGTTGTTGTTGTTGTTCTGTTTTGTTTTCACAAGGCTCTTTATTATAGCTTTCACTTTGCATCTCAAGATGCTAACAATTTCTGTGATTGATATGCAATGTAGGAAATAGATCTCCGGATTGGAGCTTTTTTCACAGGGTTTCAGACTAAGCTTTTGAGAGATGCATTTGTCCTTGATTTTGCTACAGATAACCAAAATATTTTTTTAAGTGATGGTCATTGCCAGGTGAACCATATCCCTTCTTTAATCGGCATGCAAAGAATACGAATGAGAAGTTCAGATTTATCAATTGATTACTGCTGTTATTTTTTCTAAATTGTTATATCGCATTATTCAGCTCTTTTTAACTGTACAAAGTTTTGCATAATGCTGAAGTTTATGCTTGGTGCTTATGTTTTTTTTTTTTTT